TTTACAATGGAAATAATCATGGAAATAAAGAAAAAACATAAATGCAAAAGAGTGTCCAAGTACGCTGGTTATGTATCCAATCCACTTTATAAGCACTTTTCACAAACAAACAGTTTCCAAAGTGCTGCACAAATACATACTAATAACAACAATAATAATATAATGATAAAATAAGCACTCAGATTTAATCATATTAGTCCTAAATCAATAAAACCAGTCAAATAAAATAGGAGTAAAACCATAGAATAGCAATAAATTAATAAAATCAATCAAATGCATTAAAAATAAATCAAATAAGTAAAGATACAGAGGACCACATAACTCATGAGATGTTAAAAGAATAAAAGTGTGTTTTAAGATGAGACTTAAAACATTCCACTTCCAGTGTACTTTTGTACCAAATTATTCTACAAAATTAAAAATTAACTTTTCAAAACTTGTCAAATTCAGTAATTCAGTAACTCCTCCCTGTGTTCTCTCTCAGGGACTTATTCACCCATACACTGTACACACTCTTCTTTCTGCTGTACAACATGTGGTTTCATGCTATTACACTATGGGCTGGGAGAAAAATGATGTCATACCTTGTCACCCGATGGAAAATCATAGGTCGAGTTCACATGACATCACATTTTAATCTACCAATAGTTTAAAGGTATATTACACAACACTGACTCTTGTGAGCTTTAAGCCATGTAAAAATGTTGTTAGTTCCTCAAAAACATACTCAGAGTTGTGTTTTGTTTCATTGGCACATGCATGAGTAATCCTGGTTTATTATCTGTTTACATCTCCAAAGATCAAAATGCTTTGTTCCACCTTGTGTTGTCATGAAGTGGTAGTTTTCAAGTTTCAAGCTACCATTTACCTTTTGTTCAGTAGATGTTGACAATTTCAGGGTTTAAATCATCTAAATGATTCTAGTGAAGGTGTACGGATTTTGAAAACACAGTGGAGCTCTTCTTGTATTACCACATGACATCACAAAGTGGAACAAAGTGTTTTCTGTTTGAGAGAAGAACTCAGCCTAAATATGCAGGGTTTATGCGCTAAACATGTGTGAATGAAACTAAACACAACTCCAGGTATGTCTGCGGTGAGGAAACAAAATTTTAACGTAAAACATTAAAAAAAATTTAACATAGTGTAATACTTTAAAACTGATCTGAAGGACAGGCCAGAATTTACTGTTTAAAAGTCCTATTATAATGTTATTTTCTCATCAAAAACTATTTATTTTGTTTTGGAAAAAAGTTATTCTCACTGACATATTTAGTTTTTTGTTCCCGGTTTGTCCAAAATGCAGAGGTTTAGACCAAGTCCTTTTCTGTTTAGTGACAAAGTGGAAGCCAGCAGCGCCCTCTGTTGGTCACTGCCTTTAGGGTCATGAAAAATAAGAAATATTATAATGTATGATGAAATGATAACGTATAAAGCCAGAGAAGGGTGCAGTTTATTTAGTTTAGTTTCAAGATACTCAAATCTCAATCTCAAATCTGATCTCAAGGAAAAAACAAATATCTGATACCACACTAAAAATCACCCTCTTTTACAAATGAACATTGATTCATTTAGTTTTTTATTGTTTTACATGAAAGATTTTGGGGACTGGCATTAAATTGAGAAGCAGGTGACTTCTCCAGGACAAATTACAGGTCATATCTGTGGAGATGCGAGCCCATTCATAGTAGGAATGCAGTAATTTTGAGAAACAATAATAGAATAAACACAAGATAAATTTGATTAAAAAGAATAAACTGTACTGTGGAACATTCTAGCAAAGCAAATGGGGCAGACAGGACATTGTGCAGCTTTACTGGAACCTACAGTTTACATACAAAACAATAAGAATAATTATATATGTGAGACTTGTTTAGCAGCACAAATCAGCTCACTTGTATGATCATGATTGTGCTACGATAAAGCACAGATTAAAGTGTAATAAAGCCTCAGACAGAGCAGAGCCTCCAGTTAGCATCACACCCCCAGGTAATGTTGATGACAGCAGCCGCAGAGTATCAGTTGAAGAATAAGTTGATGTAGTAATTACGGTGCCAAGTCTAATCTGGGTTTATACTGAGGGGGGATCCCGCAGGCAGATGGTGCAGGTGGTAGTCTGACCTTTGGGTTAATCCTGGGCCTCTCTCTGCATGTGGATTTGTCAGTGCGTTGCTCATGGGCACGGTGTCAGGCGCAGGACAGCTGAATGGATACTACAGCAGAGATATGGTCTTCAGATGAGCTCTCTGTCTCCATTTAAGGTAAACCAACCATTTTGTAAACACAAATCTGGATGTGATTTTACCAGAGGGGCAGTAGGCCTACTCATTTACTTTTTAAAGAAATAGTACTTTTCTAGCAGCATACTTTACCCCTACTTGAGTTAAAGCTGTGGTTCCTCTTCCACTGTGAGTAAGTCTACAAGTGACAAGAACTTTATGTGACAATATGAAATGATTTGAACATTTGTGTTTCTTGCAACGCTCCTTCAGATATGATTGAGTTTGTCTCAGTTTTGTATCTGTCATTTGAAAATACCAGATTTTGTGCATTTTTTAGTGTTTTGTCCCTCAAATTACATTCACTTAAAATTATAAATCAGATGTTACGTCCTGACAGTTTCTCTTACTTGAGTAGTAGCTTTTCCAAATACTAATTATTAATTTCTTGGACCACTATTTTGTACTTCTCCTTGAGTAATAGTATTTTGAAGTAACATTACTCTTTCTCTTACTACCCATCTTTGCACACTACATGGATAACCAAATTCAACAGCCGTATTCAAACAGCGTTAGCTAAAATAACAGGTCTATTTGCAAGAAATTCATCTAGGATTTAAATAATGGGAATTAAATTAAAATTAGTCCAAATGTTCACATTTATAGCCTGGTAAAGGTTCTATGTTGCACACAATCGACTGTTGTGAGCTTTGAAACATGTTGTTTCCTCTTCAGAAATAGGAGGTAGTACTCATTTACTTTTTAAAGAAATTGTACTTTTCAGACTTCTTTTCTAGCAGCATACTTTTACCCATACTTGAGTAATAATTTTTTTTGAAGTTGAAGTTATGGTTCTGCTTCCACTGCGAGTAAGTCGCTCCTTCAGATATGATTTAGTTTGTCTCAGTTTTGTGTCTGTCTTTTGAAAATATCAGCTTTTGTGCATTTTTAAATATTTTGTCCTTCCAGTTATTCAGTGTGTAGGACTATTGTTTTAAACATATGTGAATGAAACAAAACACAACTCCAGGTTCTGTTCTTCATATAAAAAGTGACACGATGCACCTTTAGTTTAAGATTGATATTATGTTTACTTCTGAGCTCATTTGAATTTAACTGTCTTTATTTAAAACTTACACCAGTTATTTGCAAATATGTGTGCGTGCAAACAGGCTCGTGAAGACATCTTATTTTAGCCAATGCTGCCTGAATAGTGCTGTTGAATTTGATTATCCCTGTAGTGTTGACTGAGATGGCAGCAGGTTGAGTGTCTCAAGTTAATCTGCAGATGTTATGGTGTATCAGATGCCCTCCCGTCCTCCTATATCCCTGTAAAGACTAATATGGGAGCAGTTCAAATGTTGGTAATTAAAGGGCCCATATTACGTTATTTTCTGATCAGTTATAATGTTGTTTGTTCATTAAAAACAGACCTGGAGTTGTGTTTTGTTTCATTCTCATTACATTATACATTACATGTTTAACACACTAACTCTGTATATTTAGTCTGAGTTCTTCTCTCAAACAGAAAAAACTCTGTTCCATCTTATGATGTCATGAGGTAGTACAGGAAGTGCTCCACTGTGTTTTTATAGTTCATCCGCCTTGACTAGAATCATTTGGATAATTTCAGCCCTGGTATTTCTAATCTCTACTGAACAAAAGGTAAAAGGTAGCCACGCTTCATGGCATCACAAGGTGGAACAGAGTATTTTGAGTTTTGGAGATTGAACAGACTAATAATAAAGGATTACTCAAACGTGAATGAATGAAACAAAGTACGACTCCAGGTATGTTTCTAACTAAGAACAGAAGTGGGACCAAGTTGTTGTTTTGCAAGTATCAAATAAGTGTCAAGTCTTGACATAAAGTCCGAGTCAAGTCCCAAGTCAAATACAGGCAAGTCCAAGTCACATCTCGAGTCACTGGCTCATAAGTCCAAGTCAAGTCCAAGTCATCTGCTTTGAGCTTCAAGTCATTTTAAGGCTTTAAACCAAAGTACTGTACGTAGCTCAGCTTTTTGCAACTTATATGCATTTTAAAATAAATTGTACTTAAAAAGTCAAGGTATAGGCCTCAAGTCCGAGTCCAGTCCGAAGTCTTAGTCAGTTTTATCAAGTCAAATCTCAAGTCCTAAAAATAGTGACTCAAGTCTGACTTGAGTCCAAGTCACGACTTGCAAGTCCCCACCTCTGCTAAGTAACATTATAACACATTTTAAAACTCACAATTGTCAGTTGTGTAGGACTTTAAATAGGACAAACATGCAAACTTTTGGACAAATTTGAATATCATTCCCAGTATTTAAATCCAGACCTGTTATTTTAGCTAACATCAGTTTGCTGCTAGAAAAGTACTCTGAAAAGTACAATGTCTTTAAAAAGTTACTCAAGTAAAGGCAACTGAGTACTACCCACCTCTGGTATTGTGTATCTGTGGGTATAGGTCATGTCTCTAGTTAATCTGCAGATGTTGTGCTGTGTCAGATGCCCTCCCATCCGTTTGTATCCCTTTAGTGTCAGACTAAGATGGAGGAAGGCCAAATGTCTCTAGTTAATATGCAGATGTTGTGGTGTGGTTGGATAAGTACAGCGGAAGAATGGATCTTGTAATTAAAAGAAAAGATCACGGAAAACATTTGTGGATTGAGCGCTACATTTCTCGTCTGTTACCAGCAGAGAGCGCCATTCCTCCGTTTGTTTCCCGAAACTCTCAACAGAATTTCTTACCCAATCGCCGAGCTGCTTGTATCTGTTACGCCAATCCCTCGGTCCAGCGGTCCAACCCCGTCTGCAGATCCCGGGGACAAGCCGAGGAGAGGGAGCAAAGACACAGAGGGAGAAGGACCAAAGAACCGTGCGTAAAACTGCATGGAAATATGACGTCTTCGGGCTAATTCAGACCTGGTTTAGTCCGGGAATAGTCTTACTTTTAGACCCTGTTTGGACTTAAAGATGGAAAACTTGGAAATATGAATTGGGCACGAACGAAGCACAGCAAAGCAATGGAAGTTCCGTATAGATAACTGGACAATAGATCTCTCCAAGAAGACAAAGAGAAGGGGAGGTTTGGGAGCGCGCTTTGGATGTGAACTTTTTACGCACGGAACAACGGGAGAAGTGACGCCAGCGGAAACATGAACCGGCAGCAGCAGCAGCAGACCCAGGGAGTGGTTTTAACGGGTTACCATAGCAACGCAGAGCTCCTGCCCAAAAGCGAGGCCCCCGGTGCGCACAGGTGGGAAGCACGAGCGGCTATTCAATGAACTTCCGTGCATGTACTGTCGTGGTTTAGTCCTCTTTCAGTCCTGTTTTAGTCCTGGTCTAGTCCTGATCTAGTCCTGGTTCTGTCTTGGTTTGATCCTAACTTGGTCCTGTTTAAGTCCTGGTTTAGTAGTCTAGTCCTGGTTTAGAAATTTTGGTTCAGCCTAGTCCTGGTCTAGTCCTGGTCCTTGTTCTGTCCTTGTTTGATCCTCATTTAGTCCTGGTTTAGTAGTCTTGCTTGAGCCTTCATTCAGCCAATCCTAATTATGTCCAGTTTTAGTCCTGAGTTAGTCTTATTTCAGTCTGTCCTGGGTTGGCCACCGTCTAGTCCCAGTTTAGTCCTCGTGTAGTCCAGGTTTAGTAGTCTTTGTCCAGTCCTGATCCAGCTCCAAATGTGTCCTGTTATAATGTTACTAATGCAATGATTGGAGTCCCAGTCTAGACCTAATTTAGTCCAGGATAAGTCATAGAATAGTCTGGGATCACCACAGTCTTTCCTCATGAAGCCAATTTCTTGTGGTTCAGTCCTTCCTTAGTCCTGATTTGGAAACAATACAGTTCTTATTTTATCCTGGTTTAGTCCTGGTTTTAAGGAAATTGTGTGTGTAATTGTGTAAGTACTGGTGTTGTTTCTTTGTTTATCTTTTAGATTGTGGTCTAGACCTGCTTATGTCCTAATATTTACACCTTGCTTTGTGTTTTAATAATCCTGTTGTAATTCTGGTTTAGTCTTGGAGGAGTCCTAGTTTTGGACATGTCCAGGTTAAGTCCTGCTTTAGTCCTGCTTTATAATAATGTAAATAGTAGCTTATATAACATTGTTTACAAGCACTGGAGACCTGGTTTTGTCCTGGCTTAGTCCTGATTTTCAAGATAAGTTTTGAGATAAGGCTATATGGCACAGTCCTAGAATCAGAATTATTATTACCTGTTCTAGTGCCTACACCAGGATTAAACTAGCACAAAATTTTAGTTCTGTTGTAGTCCTGGTTTAGTTCTAGTTTAGTCCTGGTTTACACTCTGTGCATTCAGTCCAATAGTCTATAACTATAATTACGGTGATGTTTACGAGCGCCACAAACAAGGGGTCAAAGCTCAGTGTGATAGTAACATTTCCTATTTCAGACAAGAAGACCTGATTTGGACCTGGTTTAGTCCTGTATTTATCTTTTAGTCCAGTTTTGGTCTTATTTTGATCCTGGTTTAGTCCTGGTTTAGTTTTTAGCAGAATTTTGTCATGGGTTGAGTTATTCAGTCCTTTATCCCTGGTTAAGTCCGGATTTGGTCCACTTTCAGTCCTGTTTCAGACCCTTTTTAGTCTTGGTTTAAGTGCTAATTTAGTCCTATTTTGATCCCGGTTTAGTTCTATTTCATTCTTGGTTTATTTTCCTTGTTTACGCCTTATTTCGCCTTGGTTTAGTCCTGGTTAAATCCTTTTTAATCCTTGTTTAGTGCTGTTTCATTCCTGGTTTAGTCAAGGTGTTTAGTACTGTTTTAGTCCTTGTTTAGTTTTGGTTTAGTCCTTGTTTAGTCCTGATTTAGTCCTTGTTTAGTCCTGGTTTAGTCCTTGTTTAGTCCTGGTTTAGTCCTTGTTTAGTCCTTGTTTAGTCCTGGTTTAGTCCTTGTTTAGTCCTGTCTCAATCCTGTCTCAGTCCTAGTTTAGTCCTTGTATGTAACCACTACAGTCCCTCCCTGTATTATTGACATTAGCTTACTGCTGTACATACATATGCACGCACACACACACACACACACACAAGCACATGCACACACACACACACACACACACACACACACTCACACACACGCTAGGCCTGTCACGATAAATGACTTCATCCACTTATTGTGTAGAAAATTACATCATTTTTGGGGTCATTATTTATTGTGGGTACTCTGCACCTGCAAGATTCATCACAATTGAATTGAAATTGATGCAGTAACCAAATATCCTGTCTTATTCTGCACAAAAGCTGCTAACCCTGTAATTTAACCTGTTCTTTGTTTCACTGACACATGTCTGAATAATCCTGCGTTATTAGTCTGTCTGCATCTCCAAAGCTCAAAATGCTCTGCTCCACCTTGTGATGTCATGAAGCAGTAGTTTTTTCAAAGTTAACAGCTACTTTTAACCTTTTGTTTAGTAGAGATTGGAATTTTCAGAGCTGAAATTATTCAGATGATTCTAGTGAAGGTGTATGGAGTTTTAGCACAACATGGAGCACTTCTCATAACACCACATGACATCACAAGGTGGAGCAGATTGTGTTCTGTTTGAGAGAAGAACTCCTAAATATGCAGGATTCGTGTGTCAAACATGAATGAATGAAACAAAACACAACTCCAGGCATATTCCTGAAAACAACATTAGTATTATACAGGGCCTTTAAAACATAAATCACAAATGTAATCACAAACAGATTTTTTTTTTTTTTTTATTGTTCAGCTCTAACAAATGGATAACTTGTAACTTCTATGACTTAAATTCCTTAGAATATAATATTTGTGAACAGGTTTGACCTCTGGCTGGTCTTTACCTCTCACACACTTCTTACTTCCTTTTATCAGCAGATTAGAGACTTCACCTTGACATTTGGCTGGATTCACTTTGATTCTCCGCACTGTTAACACGATAAGAAAGTAGCCATTTCACACTTACAAATGCTGATATGTGATTGGGCAGTGCTCTGTGTGAGTAACAGGAGGATTTCAAGGTCCTATATTACGCAAAATAGACTCTTGTGAGCTTTAAGCCATGTTAGAATGCTGTAACCTCCTTAAAAACAAACTTGGAGTTGCATTATGTTTCGTTCACATGTTTGACTAATCCTTTATTATTAGTCTGTCTGCATCGTCAGAGCTCAAAATGCCCCTTGTGATGTCATGAACATGTAAAAATACTTGCAACGTACTAGTTACCAGGTACTTTTAGATTTTAGATTAGTTTGTAATCCAATACCTGTTTAAAGATAGAGTATTTCAATTCTATGTGTCTAACATATTTAGATCATGTTACCCATTCTGTTGCTCTTCTTTCTAAGTCACTTCCCCTTCAGAGCAATATCATAACACAATCAGCACGATAATGAAACCACTGCACATCACATTAGGGTTGTCAAGTTGCTGTGTTCAGTTTTGTGTCATGTTTTTGTATATTTATGGAAAATTGTCATGCTGGAGGATAGATGATGTAGGCTTGTGGGATGAAGAGGGTTTAAATAGAGCCTGGGAGAGATCGATAGATTACTCAAACATGTATGGATGACATCTAAAACCTAGTAGATTTTTGCAGAATACCCTGTCTTTAATTAAACTGTACGCTAAACGGTAAAGAAATGAGCAGATGGTGCAGTGAGACTGACTGTATTCACTGTAAAAGCTAAATAAAATTTCTTCTGCTGGACCTGACTTGACTCTGGTCTCCTGCTGTAACTTTAATCCTGGAGGTCGGATGTCTCACGTCTGTGTGTCTGTGTCATTTCCTCCAAAAACCACACCGGCTCATGCACTCTCTTCTCATGCACGCTCTTCTCATGCACGCTCGTCTCATGCACGCTCATCTCATGCACGCTCGTCTCGTGCACGCTCAGAGCGCACATAAAGGCGCTGCTGTAACATGACGCTGTTGTTTGGTCCTGGACGAACCATCTGCAACACGCCACACATCCTGTCTCCTCTCTCCTCTATCCTCTTTCGCCTTTCTGTCCTTTTCTCCCCTAACCTCTCTCTAGTCTAAAGTTTCTCACCGGATTCTGAACTAAGAGAATCTGTTGGGAAAAGTCATGGCGAGTATTTGAATTTGATTGGTCAAAGTGGAATAAGCCGAGAAATCAAACTTTAGTAAAACCAGTTGAGAAAAAACACATCTTTCTCTGTCCACAAATGCTCCACCTGGCTCATGACGACAGATTGGCATGTGTGTCACTCTGCACTGAGTTCTACACATTATCAATCTGAGATGGCTCTCCCTGAAAGCGTCATGATAACTATGTGAATCTGATTCTGAAGGGCCACAACAGCAGAACAAGTCAAAAAATCAAAACTTTTGTCACATCCAGTTTAAGCACAGATATCTCCCCTGTCCACAAATCCAAAAAGCAATTACCTTCTGGACCTTTTTCTCAAACAAAATAGTATGCAGTGACACTAAAACAGGCTGAAGTACATCTGTCAGTGCTGCCAAACCTCAGTGCTGCTCTGTGATTGATCGCCAACCACCTGTCAGGCCCTATTGCACCAACAGGCACGTGCCAAGATGGTTTCTCGCGAGATACTGTGAAAATTCATCTATTCTTCTTTCCCATCTCAGTTAAACATTATAAGCTGTAAAAAGTAGATGAGGTTTGAATCTTCTCTGTTTGACATTGCACTTGGTCTGTGTTAGGAGTGTAATAAATCCTAATGTAAATGTTGGTATTGTCACTTGAGACGCTGCCATGTCACACAAACAGACAGTGAATGGGTGTATGTAAACTGTACACATGAGGCAGGTGAGACGGCGGCAGTTTCCATCATTAGCTCCTTGACAAAGACAGGAGCCAGAGGATTAAACAGGAGAGGCTCAGGTGAGAAGGGGCAGGTTAAACTACAGCTCATGTGTTTTTGTACATCTTATGGAGCTCAAAAGTGACACCCCACCCCTGGTTCTGGAAGTAAATTTTTCATTCATTTTTCTCTTTACCCAAAAAATGTATATTAAAGGTTGGAAAAGCTCACAGTTAATCAGCTCTGCAGTAACTAATGACCAAAAGAAGACCTATAATTTAATTTCAAATCTGTTTCTGAAACTTGATTAAAATGTTTTTGCAGCATTTTGCAGAATCTTTTGTTTTAAATGTGCTTTTTGAACTTAAAACAACCATGTTATTGATATTAGTTAGTACGTAACTCCTTAACTCGAACTCTTAATATTTGAATTTTTGTAAAAGTTTATTGGAAAAACAAATGGAAAATTGATTTTCCAAAGTTGGAGTGCAC